TAGTGTGGTCGTATACAAGAATAATACTGCTTACAAGAATGAACACTCATTTTTTCATAATCATAACACATATTTTATGTGTATATTTATTCCTACAAGCAGTATTATCGCATAGTGGAATATATCGGCCCTAAGAATGGATTTTGTGTAGCAAAATATGCCAGATTAGTGCAAAGGGTATCGCCTGTAGTAATAACATCTGTGCTCTGTGCATACTAAATACAATAATATTCAACACAAAAAGAGTTATGCCCAAGGGAGCATTTGAGAATCACTTTTTCTGTCCAGTCGGACTCTTTTTTTCCGACTTCTCTTGTATCTGCTGCTCCGCAGTCGCCTAACACGACCGCGAGTCTGATTGATCCGTGTGTATCATGTGTACGTGTCCACATGCCAAACGTGCGCGCATATGATATGTCACACGTGCATATGATACGTCACACGTGATTTATCGTGTGTAAGAAATATCGGGAATAAGAATCAAATGTCATTTTTCAAACACCCACGCTATAACCGATACCTACTGTAATTATTACGATGGCGGATAATAGTCTACAGTGAAAGGTGCGAAAACTCGCATCATCGCCGCATCACGTACTGGTACACACCAGTACAGTTTACGCTACACTACATCCAAGTCGGAGCGACTGAGTTTCCACTGTAGATCTACACACTGATACCAGTTGCCAGTGTAGTCGCACACAGATGAGGATGGAGTCGATAGTGACTAGTGCACTGCCTGGCCAGGCCAGCGCTGCTCTGGAAACCCAGTGAGTCGACATACGTGTCAAAAGGTCGTATCGCTTCCGGTGTATAAATAACTTGATTTTCTCTCTCCAAGTGTTGTATGATCTGAAAGAAGAATGTCAGTGCGCAAGTGGTGGGGGATTGTATTATCTGCATTTTGACATACATATCATATAATGGGATCCATATATGGTCGCGCGATGCAAACCTCTAACTAAAGACCACCTGGCACTAACGACCACTTTTCCGGGCACCAAGGGGTGGTCGTTAGTTACAGGTTTTACTGTACATTGATGAGAGTGTCATTATGCACTCAGTTGGTATGTCACTTGATTCATTCTTTCTGGGGTGTTTACTCCGTCCAGGGTTTTGTAGCCTCAGCTGACAGGTACTCGGCCACATCCTTCTCCAGGTAGCTGAGCCTGGTGTCCGAAATACCTTCTGGTTGAAGCACCACAGGAGAGCCACCAGCTAGAACGCGATCAACCGTTGCAGATGTCTGAAGTAGTTGGTATTCGACTTCTTCACCATCACAATCCACCTTCATAAACAACACACCGGGCTTGCCCTTCGTTACTCTGAAGTGTTGGTACTTTGTAATGCCCTTGACGGCCTTGAAGAATTTAGCTAGGAAACTGCTCCAATCCAGCCAATCCCAGCATAGGCGAACAGCAATATTCGCATCACATGAAGAATCAATAGCAAGCACAACATCTGCCATTGAATCTACCTCAGAGTTTCTGAAGTTTTGCTTAAGCCTGCCAAACTTAGCATCAACACTGCAGCGGGTGTGTCCTACACGCATGAAAGATAAAATTATTTCATCTGACAAACCATGCATCACACGCTAGTACAAGTATGCCATCACTGTACGGTTCTTATTCTGACCAACGCAGTTGTTAGCATGCATGCAGACCTTGCGCTCTGGAAGAGTTTGCCCGTAATGGTGCAGCATGCTAACAACTGCGTTGGGACCGTGTGCTTTAGCCCCATCTTGGCCAATAGATTCAGCTTCGTGGAATATGTAGTTAGACTGCGTGTTCCTAGCCTCATTACAAACACCGAATAAGTGAACTTTAAAGCGAGATTTAAAATAAAGTGGGCCAACTTGTCTAGTGTGGTGCGGGAGCTCAAGCTGTTGTGCGTAATCAAAAGTTACATGTGCAGCTGCCGAGACATTACCAGATTCAGTTGCTTCCACCAGCAACTTCTTGGCGTCCGCGATACTTGATTTTTAGAACTCGCGCTCCTTGTCTGCTGCATCGATGTGTTGCTGAAGCCTTTCTACAGCGTCACGAGTCGGCTCTTCTGTTTTTGCAAGCCGTACCTTCTCTCGCATCCTCTCACATCGTGCGCAGACATCTGAACGGCGTTTCATAAAAACGATGTTTGATGCGCGTTGCTTCCAGATTTTCCGGAAAGTCGTGAAGCCAAGCGGTCTAGTGTCCTCCATGTCACCATACTTCCTGTACAGCCTTTTCTTAGTCAAACTAGCCGGTAAGTAAATCGGTGCTGGCTTGCCACGGCCACGTGGCGCTGCTGGCTGTGGTATGCCATGGCACGATGCATAGTGCTCTAAGAACTGCACTACACACGTGATAGTGCACTCTGAAATCTTGGTCGGACTACTGGATCCTACACGGCCATGCGTAGGTGGCAATGATTCGTTGTTCTCAACACATTTCATAAGTGAGGTCAAGATAGCCCGTGAGATGCTATGCACTTCCAGATACGCATTGCGGCACACAATCTTGCCCAGCACGCAGTATGTTATACTCATATTCCGGGCACCAGTGCCCTCCTGTACACGGCTTGATCCACTCGCAAGTGAGCCCAAGATGTACTGTTTGCGCTGCCTACTGCCCATGTTAGCCATGTTGTGCATGAGGGCACTCAAATCATCGATCTGAGGTAGTAGCAGAGCGCAGTGATTGGTTTTACACTTACAGCCAATGCTGGCATTGTCACGGATTTGTGAAGCAATGTGCGCTCTGGACAAATCATCAGCCGACTCACCTCGCAAATCCGTGTCGCTGCCAGGTCATCATCAGATGACCTGGCCATTAGAGGTAGATAACGAAGAGGGCAGTGTGGAGAGGTGGACGGTTAAGACTATTTTCAAATGGCCGAGTTTGTCGCTACTTCGGAGTCACACAGTACTCCGATAAGTCAATTGAAAAACGCTTCTGCAATACTCTCGATGACGTTGTCCGGCTTTCATCCCACCATGTCCTCAATTGGCGACACGCGGGTGGGGGCATGGGGTCGCTGTCGGTATAGTCACAGCAGGACGTCCACGTCGTCTCTCCAACTGCTCGACTCGTCGCCCAACTACGAATCAGGCGAAGCAATGTCCTGTTGAAGCGTTCAGTGGTTCCTTGGGACTGCGGGTGTCTGATGGCTCCTGTCTTCACTCGGACACCAAAGTACTTGAAGACAGACTCAACGAGCGCGTTGCGAAATTCAGACCCATTATCCATGTGCAGAACCTTCGGCGGGCCTCAGAGATTACACAGGGCCGTGAATGCCTTGGCAACAGGGGAAGCATCATGCCGAGCCAACGTGATAACTTCGGCCCACTTAGTGAACGAACGCTGACATGAGGCGACGGGTGCGCATCGCTAACAGACGCGACAACATCAGGCTTGGCGGGTCCAAACCGGATTCCATTGGTCCCGGGTTTCGGCACCATAAGCTGTAAGGGAATTACTGGCTGCGCCTAAGTCTATCCTCTACCATGGCACACTAACCAGAAGAAAACAAGTCTTCAATTACAGATAGGAATACATTTCGTGAGAGAGAGTAAAACTACAAGTATCGGTAAAACATCGTCCAATTTGAACTTTGACTTTGGACATCAACGCGTGCACTTGAGACGATAAAACTTGATATGAAGGAAGGTAAGGTACAGAATGACAACTGGCCAAGTGGAATTTATTGTCCAAGGAAGGGTTCATACGTTATTGGTCCTCCTTGTCGCTGCTCCCGGCGCTGGTGACAAATATTTGTTTCGCAAGCTCATCTCTCTTCCTCTCCGCTGCCTGACTATTTTCTAAAGGGAAGTCGACCGTGACGATCGCCTTCTCTATAGGACTTTGCGTGGGCAGCACGACTGCCTGTGTGGTTCAAATCAGTCGCCGTTCTTTGCAAGATTTATTTTGAACGACGATGACTCGTACAGTACTTGCAAATCTCCACGATTCGCTGGATACTCCGAGCGTTGCACTGGAGGCGAGGGAACTGCGATGTCAGCTTGGCGAGCGATCTCTGAGGTGATCTCGGCCGTTTTGCAAATGGAACTGATTCCGAGTAGCCGATTACTTTCTTGTGCGGCGAGCTGCTCTTGCCTGCCCAGTGTGACAAGATAATCTATAATTATTGATGCGGCGCTGAACCAATCAGAATCACGAACCTGTCACTCTCGAAATCTAGCTAGACCTTTCAGGTACTAGTAAACTAACCTACTAACCAAAATTGGGATGAAATGGGCTGCCAAGTGAGCATTGGCGACATAATAACAAAGCTGAAAGATAAGCGACAATATTGCTGACGCGGACCAAGTATAATCGTTTCAGCCCTAATATAATTATACATGTACACACAAACATGCACATACACCCCCCCCCCCACCCCCCCCCCCCCCCCCCCGCTACACACACACACACACACACACACATGTACACGCATACACACCGTGTACCATGTATACGCCCGTTACAAGAGAAGCACGCAAATCTGCGAAATGTACTGGAGGTGCACCCACAGATTTTCTCTTATAGCAACGATAGCGAACAAGATCTGAATGAGACAGATCAAGACTAGTGCCAGATAACTGCCTAATCCATACAACCTGTGAAGCCATGAGAATCGACCACCAATGCACACGTGGTCTGCACAACACGAAGGACATCAGTATAGAACGGCTAAGACGGTTGCCTATCCTTGCTGTATGCACACACTCACGCACGCACCCCCCCCCCCCCCCCCCAACACACACACACAAACACACATACACCAGGAAATATATTTACGCCACTTTAGAATGTAGGGACGGCCCTTGTATGGACCCAAGAGTGAATGGTGTGCCATGGTCTGCTCTACTGGCAGATGGTGGAATCCGTAAGGTTAAGTTCTGTTGCTCTGGCCTGGCGCGAGTGACTAGATGCTACTTGTTGTGATCGAATATATTGCTCAAACCACGTTCTGGAAAAAAATTCTTAAGGAGAATCAAGGATAGAGATTGCTCAACTTACATTGTTCTTTACAGAGATCGTGTCGGGTTGGAGGTCTAGTAGATACTTGACTACTTCCAGATGTCCATTCCTGGCAGAGTCATGAACAGGAAGATCACCGGTCTGTGTACAGGTAACACACATGACAAGACATTCCTGTGCGTTATCCATCAGAAAAGTATCTATATTGGATATAAATGTGTTAAGCACCTTCTCCCGTACAACCTTTTCCAAGCTGGTCGGCATGCACCCCATACTACGTCGTAGTCACCTTTTGTCTCCTTTTGTCACCTTTTGTTCCGTTGGCCTGGGTAGCTACTTGTGCGCCCATATTTGTCATAGCTACCCAGGCCCTTTACCTTCGCGTTCACACTTGATCTCTAGGTCTTGTCTCTCTCTTCCGGATATCTCAGTCGGTAGAGCATGAGATCCCATGCACAGTCGTCCTCAACCGCCATTCGTCTCGTCCTCAGTAATCCTCGTCTCGCCTATGTCAACCTGGTCTCGTCCATGTCAACCTCGTCTCTTCAATGTCAATCTCGTCTCGTCCAAGTCATGCAGGTCGGCTATTTTCTTTATTTCTCTCTTTCTTTTCATCTGTCCTTCGTCGTCAAATTTATTTTCAGTTTATTTTATTTCGTGATTTTTGTTGTGCGTGTGTGCGCGGGTGTCCTTCGTCAATATTAGTTGTCCGATGGTGAGCCACGCTCTTTTATTCATGTCGCATTAATTGGCAGAAGAGTAACTATGCTGCATAGCTATGCAAATCAGAAGGCAATGTTCCTTGCTTTTAGTTTTTTTTATGTGTGCCAATTATTTTGTGAATGGGTGTTTGGTCCGTCGTTGGCAATGTCTACGCTACCATGAGTGATGTGTAAATACTTTAGAGTACAGGAACATCATAACTGTAGTGCATTATTAGTATAACACTTTTGTGACACCCGGGCGTTGTGTGTGTGTGCGTGTGTGTGTGTGTGTGTGTGTGTGTGTGTGTGTGCGCGCTGTGTGTGTGTGTGTGTGTGTGTGTGTGTGTGCTTTTTTTCTCTACTTCCTCAGCCATTTTTTCTATTTTTCTCGTCTTATTATTTCCCGCGAGGCCGCGGTTCCTTTTTTGCGCAGGGGAGGTATGTTAGGTACCTCCTCCCATACAACCTTTTCCAAGCTGGCCTGCATGCACCCCATACTACGTCGTACTCACCTTTTGTCTCCTTTTCTCACCTTTTGTTCTGTTGGCCTGGGTAGCTACTTGCGCGCCCATATTCTCCATACCTACCCAGGCCCTTTATCTTGCCGTTCATACTTGATCTCTAGCTCTTGTCTCTCTCTGCCACAATGTAGTCGTTTCGTTTGCCTTGGTCTCTGTCTCTCCGTCTCCCAAATAAGTGTTGTCCCATCTAACTGTTCCCGTTGTCCATTGTTGTCTCTGGAGAATATTCCGTCGTCCTCCACAAATGTAGTGCCCAACTCACTATGATGTGGGGTTATAGGCCATTCACACGACATGCAAACTCACTTTTATCGTACTGTCTCCAAGGATATGTACTCGGATACGATAAACTTGGACTCACGCATGCAACTGATTTTTTATCTTGGCCAAGGCCCTTTTGCTCGCGATTATCTTTGCACGCCTGGAAAAGTGTCGGTTGTTGAAAGTGCGTACTGCAAATGCAGTGCTTGAACAAAGGAAAACTCAAAATTTAACATTTCACCGTATTTTCAGGGGGTCACTTTGGATACATTGACGGTTGCACAGTTTGCCCAGCACCTTGTGAACTGGATCATGGTTTGCCAGTGTTATCTTGATCACACGCGGGCAAATGTTTGCACGTCATGTGAATGGCCTATAAATTCAGTTAACCCTTGTTAGCGCTCATCACAGACTCCCACTGCTCATCACAGACTCCCACTGCTCATCACAGACTCCCACTGCTCATCACAGACTCCCACTGCTCATCACAGACTCCCACTGCTCATCACAGACTCCCACTGCTCATCACAGACTCCCACTGCTCATCACAGACTCCCACTGCTCATCACAGACTCCCACTGCTCCTCACAGACTCCCACTGCTCATTTCCTCATGTTCCTTATACATAGGCAGCATGTCCTTTTTTTTACCTTTGGCACCTGCATACATGTGCAAAGTATGCACTGCCTTACACGTCTGCAGGTGCACACTGCACTCATCGGGCAAACTGATACGCCTCCTACATGCAGCACGCAGTTACCATAATTATAGGGTACACAGGGCCTTGCACCTGTCCCAGCTGGGGTTTGCACTTACAGCTCAGCGATCAGAAATATGTTTTTCTATTACAGCAGTTCGGAGAGCTCAAACTGTTTAGTTGTTGTTTTCTGCTTCTTGTCCGCAGTAATGGTTGGCTTTTGAATTCTTTTTCCCACCATCCCACCCTTACCACTATCTGTAACTAGGATCTCACTACCGGTCCACTCTTCACAATAAACACTGGGTGCTGGCGCAACTCTTAATGGCAATGGTTTAACTCGTTCAATCACTCCGTGCTCTATGTTGAGCCAACACACGCGCTCTATGTTCAGCCACCATACGCGCTCTATGTTGAGCCACTCACTCTATCGCGCTCTATGTTGAGCCACTCACTCTCTCGTATTCTATGTTGAGCCACTCTCTCTCTCTCTCTCTCTCTCTCTCTCTCTCTCTCTCTCTCTCTCTCTCTCTCTCTCTCTCTCGTGCTCTATGTTGAGCCACATTGCCTCACTCGCAGCCAGCATCCGTATAACTCCAAACCCCGTGCCCTGTGTGTTGGTGTACTTCATAGCAGTGTAGCATCTGCATGTGCATCTGGGATGTGGGCTAAAGTGAGTTATTCTCACGCACATACACACTACTCTGATAAGTCAATTGACAAACTGTTTGCCAGGTTAAGGTGGAAAACCCCAATACATGTCTCACTGCCGGGCAAAAAATGCCGGTGAGTAGAATATGCTTGCCTGGAACTGACAGCCTACACGTTGTCTTTCCCAGCCCAGGATGCAAGGTTGATGCCAAGTCATTTGTTTTAAGGTTCTACGCCTGCATCGCTTGGTAACATTTGTACACACCTCCGCTTTTACAACTGTTGTGATGATCTGATTGTTACTATAGTCAGTTTCAAAAAGATTCCTGATTTCAGTCCTGGCGATCGCCCGGGGAGTTTGCCGTCTTACCGTATGAGCGCTCGAGCGCTGCCTGGAAAAACTCACTGTGAACTCGAAGAAATATTCCGCGCGAAAGCATGAAAAATGACAACTCACTGACATCGGTACTCGTACATGTTCGTCTTGTTTACAACAAACGAGTTCTTCCTCGCATCGATATGGAGTCAGAGAGGACATGTCGAAAGACTAAGTGTGGTAAATTTTGACGAGCGGGATGCGTCCGTATGTGTGACCAAATAGATTATTTGAGCTGCCGCGGATGCAATTATTTACTCTCACGATGTGACGAAAACGGCATCGAAACAGACTCATTCCCAAGGCCTTGAAGTGGCAAAGCTATCCGTGTGACTTCGACGACATTTTGAGAAAAGCAGACGCCTGTGAAAGCTGATAGAAGACGGCGTTGACTCCTAAATTCAAATAAATTGGCGATCTTCAAATACTAAAATAATTCTCAAACAGAAATCGATCGATCGATGTGCCGGTGTATCCAACAACACGTACGTAGGTACAGCGCAATGACTTCCGTGTTCACTCACACGGTTTCAGTGTTGTGTGTGTTCACAACTTCACATGGCATGAGCCAGTCAAGTGCCAGTCAGTTCGGCAGGAAACACGAGCTCCAACAACAAGTCGTTTGGCGCAGCCACCTTCTTTGTCTTGTGCCAGCGCGATCACCAAAACAATGAAAAAGTGAAGAAGAAATGTTTGACTTGAAGATTTGTTGGGATTTGAACTCACAACTTCATGGTCAGCAGACAGCATTCTTAACCACAAGGCCAAAAAGGAAGGGATAAATCGTGGGTTTTGATAACAAATCGATACTGGCTTCCAGGGCAAATTATAAACCATGGGAAAAGGCCAGAAACCTGGCCGAAATACTAACTCCTTAACGGTTGGTCCAATTGTTCCGAAACCTTCACAGACCAATTTGCCGTGCCCTAACAAGCCGTTTTATGTACTTTGTTGTCCAAATTTCCATTATCTTCATACTTTTTAAGACCCAAACTTGATTGCTTATCTTTTTGAAACAGACTGTAGTAGGGGTGAAAGTTAGCACTGAGATCCCGAGTTTGAAACCTCTGATTTTCTCCGATCGAATATTTGAGTATTCGAGAATTCATATCGCAGACCAAGGGCCTTTTAAAAACCACATGATCCAACCCAAAAACTATTTGGTTTTTCTGGTTGAGCTCCCGGCAGCTCTATCTCTTGCGAGAGACTTTTGTTCCTTGAAAATGTTTCCAGACAGATGAGTTACTACTAGATGAGTTGCTTGAATAAGCCGAAGGCAACTATATTTACGGAGCGCAGTAAGAATGACTCGTCCCTCAGAGCAGGAACGTTCAACGCTCGTTCCTTGACAAGCAACATCAAGGAAAATACAATAATACAAGATTTCGAACAATACAGGCTTGACATCCTCGGACTGACGGAGGCCTGGCTGAACGGAGCCGGTGTAGACACGTACGGCAACGGACATGTTCTGTATCGTTCGGGTGGCTCGTCGTCCAGAGCTGGAGTTGGCCTTCTGATCAACAAGAAACTAATAAATAATGTGGAGTCGTACAAATTTATCTCCGAACGGATGATATCAGTTCGTCTCCGAAATGGACCTCCACCTGACAGCAACTCCCTCACGGTGGTCTGCTGCTACGCTCCGACGCTGCAACGCTCGACATCACATCCTCAGGAAACAGATGACTTCTACTCCTCACTACGAGGTATTGCCCAGGAGGTCAGTAGAAGAGATGATTTTATGATATTGGGAGACCTGAATGCAAAAGTAGGGAGCGCCCGACCTGCTTCAGGAGGCGCAGTGGGATGTTTCTCCAAGCACGTATCAAGCAACGCGAACGGTGAGAGACTGATTGAGCTGTGTGAGGAGCAAAATCTGATTTTATGCAACACCATGTTCAAACATCGTATGCAGCATCATTCGACAT